TCTGGATAGCTTAGGGAATGGGCTCATACACTGCTCGTCTCCTGCGCGTAAAAATCCTGCCGCTTTCCTTTTATTGGTCTCCGCGCCAAACTCAATGGTGGAATGTGCCAGGACCAATGACCACTCTGCCATTACAAAAGGCCTAGCCTAGCCACTTAGTACCACCACTCGATGAGTCTCAGCTCACCTAGCCTTTCTCTCGAGCAAACTTCTCGCTCGATCCTTCCTTGTAACCACCATCCACCAAGGATGGTAGGAGCTTCAGGTTAGCGACTTTTGCACGAACACCGAGGGTTTTCCCAAAATCCTATATGCCACCTTGCAAAAACTCAGAGTCAAGGATCGCCCTGAGTATGAGGGTCATGAGTATGAGAAACATGGCACTAAGCGATGTGAGGTCACCATTTACATTGGGAAGAGTGAGGAGTTCCTCGATATCACTGAAGCCTGGAATGTGACCGCAACCGGGTTTTGCTTCGTCGACACCTACCAAGTTGTGGCCCGCAAAACTTTGCGGCATCTTTGTCAGATCTATGAAGAGCCCATTGCTCGTACCCCCATGAAGTTCTTTCCACCTTTGAAAAAGAATCGACGGGTATGGAGGGCTCGCATGGAGGTTTTGCAAGGGCGGGACGCACAAGAAGACAGCCCAACTGTGGTACATCTCGCCATGTATTTGATTGCTCGATGATGAAAGATGATGGACCGGCAGCCTCGGAGCCGAGGAAGTGCCTCCGCACGAGCTAAGGAAGCCAAGATCTTCTCCAGGATGCTCGAAGTGCAACTCGCTGAGGCACACGCCAATGTGGCAGCCGCAGAAAGTCATGAGACTGCCATGGCGGAAGCCCTGAAGGAGGCTAAAGATCGACACACCCAGCAGCTGGAGGATGCTTATCTGGTCATAAGGGCCAAGCGTAGGACACTTGACACAGAAAGGCAGGAACCCTTGGTCTTGGAGGGAATCCCTGTCCACCCAGCCGGAAGGAGAACTGGTGTTGCAGTACCACCAACACCTCCACCCTCAGAGGTATCAGAAGTAGAGTCCTTGCTTCCCCTCACTCAGCCACCACCACGAGAGGAGGCAGATCCTTAGCCAGTGCAGAAGAAGAACCAACCGAGCCTGGGAATGAAGCCGTTTTGTCCGACGAAGTAGATGAGTTGTCCTAGGGGACATGTACCCATAGTTAGTAGTGCTTTTCATTGCCATCCTCTAGTGTTGTAATCTTTCCATTGTATTTCATCCATAGATGTTAAGAATCATCGGGTCGTAGGAGGTAAACGATGTGTCGAGAATGGGAGAGTGAGTGCCTGTATGTTGTACCCGTATAAGGGCGTTTGGGACGTGCATTTTTCTTTATCCGTTATGTTTGTTATGTTGATTTACCCTTAGATCTCGTTAGACTTACTTAGGGTTCTCGAGGCAAAAATCAAGTGGGTTACAAGAAAAGCAACCATTCAGATGCAAGCAGACCAGCTATGATTGGATGACAGAGATCACTGTATCAACTAATTGTGGATGTCCCAGCAGAACACTTGAATTTCCTTAAAAATTAAATCCGTTGTGGGATTTGATTTCCTGGCCCCTTACCGTGAAAGGAACCCTTGTTGTCTGAATCTTTCCTTGCAATCCTCCCCTGGTTCCGTGGTGAGTGACCCCACTGCTTTCATTGCGTGTAAGTTGGTAAAGTTGCCTGGTCAAATGCTTATGGTGCCACGATGAAACCGAGGGCCCCTGTGGAACAACTACCACATGGCGATGCTGCTCGGCACGCGCTGGTATAGAGGTGGTTAACCAAGCACCTTTGCCAAGTTACACCACCGTATCTCTCTAGCAACAAAATATTCTCCTTTGGAAAAATATCCTTGTTGTCTAACAGAAAATCCACAACAGGTTGATGAAGTAGTGCTTGTTTGAAGTAACTGAGTTAATACGGTTTCTGAAGAGAGAGAAGAGCAACAAGGAAAAGTTAGTATTCTAGTAGTCTGGAGTGATTGAAACGCTTAAATTGACGCCATGTCCCAATCCCAGTGTCCGGTTTGACCACGCTACGCACGCATCGACACCTGTGGACGCTGTCGATACCGGGACCCACTTGCGTTCAGCTCTCGTTTGGCTATGCCGCACTCGCCTTGATCACTCGCACAGTTCGTTTTCTCTCCTTTTCTCGCCCCCTATCGGCTCTCGACTCTCGCCCTCGTCCCCATACCGGACCCCTCCTTTTCTTCTTTTGGGGCACGGCCGCTCGCACGCCCCCTCGTCGAGCAAACCCCTCTCCCCTCCTTTTTCCTCCCTCCACTCAAGCTCGCGCAGGGAACGCACCATGGCCGACGCTCTCCCCACCTCGTGACCCGCCAGCGTTTCCCTTCCACGCCGCCTCCACTTCCCGGTTGCTTGGGTGCGCCCAAGTTAGCTACATTTACTCCACACCCATGCAACCAGCAAAGCACACAGCAGACCGCATGCAAATTAAAGCCACGCGCACCGCCAGTGGCCACTCACCCGCGCTCCTTTTCCCACACACTGGTGCCATCCTCTCAGCGTCTCATCGCTGTCTCTTCTGCACCGCCACCCACCGCACGTCGCACCACCGCCCCACGACACCGCTCGTGATGTCACCTCCATTGGCCCGATGCTGTCGCTGCTGTCCCACACAAACCTGATTCCCTCAGCCCCCGTTGCTGCTCAGTGCCGCCGATAATGGCGCGCACCCACCCTCTAAACCCACCGTCAATCGCCTATAAAACGACCCCCGGCTCCCCCTTCACAACAAGACACTCCACACTCAACACTAATCACCCGCATAAGCCCCCTATTCAAATGCCAACCTATTTCAACATTTTAAGAAAAAGCCTGAGATAAGTGCTGCAAGCTGGAGACTATCGAAGAAAACATCAAGCAGGAGCCGGAGTACATTGTCAGAAGCAAGAAGCTGACACTCTCAAGATGTGCTTAGATGAAGATGAGCTCACCATGACCATCTTTGCTATCCTAATTCCTACTATGGTGGCATCAATCATATTGTATATCCCTGTAATGCGCCTGCTACCCTACGAGAGGCCCTGAGATAGTTGTTGAAATAAGAAGAGTTGAATAAATATGTGGATTTATTCAAATTTCGAGGCATAGGGCCTGTCCACAACTTCACTACGCATGATTAAGTTATTTCTTACATTCACCAAATAAATAGCGGCGCAATTCCTATACCAGCTATATTGTGATGCGAGGTCCTTTGCAATTGTCATTGTGGTTAAGTTTTTACGTAGCTAGCATAGTTTCAGTGCTGGGTATCCATGTGAGTTCCTTGTCAGTAATAACTAAATAAAGTTCGGACAGGCTGCACTTTAACATTTACGAGGGATACTATGGTGGCTATAATATGCAATATTATTTTTACTGACTCTGCCGTGGGGTATCATTCTATGTGGAACCGTTTAACGTGGTAGTACTTAGACCATATATATGGCAGCGATAATGCATTTGTATGGTTATATGCTTGCTACCACCGTGTCCTCCCATACTTTGATGGTAATGGGAATAAGGAAAAGAAATCATCTCAAAAGATCAGTATAGGTGACGGCTTTGCTTCTTCAGAAGGCCATTTTTCATCTAGAAGATAGTTTTCCAGTCTCGCTGGCCCCCAATAATACTTGTTAGCCTGTATGTGTATCCTATGCAATTTTATCATTGTTTCAGAATAATTATTTTAATATTTTCTTTTGTGCTTGTGTCTATGATATTTACACAATACACAATTCCTTGAATTTGTCACAAGATAGCTCTGAGATTCCTAGAATGCTGCTCCACCTGTAAAAGTGACATACTTATACTGATGCCCTATTGGCCGTCTCAAACTTAGTCATGCCTATCACTTATCTGTATTAACCTTTTTTGTAACAATTTTTATCCAAGCTAAATAGTAAAAAAACAAATATAAAACAAAAGGTTTTGGTAACCCACTTGAGTTTGCCAATTATTCAGTGGTTTGTGTGGTGCTTATTTCCGTACTCTTTGTCAAAATATGAGAAGTTCTAAATTATGAACTCATTTGGATAGAACAAAGTTATATGTTCAATTAGGACCACAGAGAACTTATACACCTTCCAAATCTACACTTAAATTTATACAGCTTCCAATTTATACGGTGGAGCATATATTTCTTTCTCGAACACGTAGGAGAGCTGCGTGCGTATCATTTCATTAAAAGGAAAAGAAAGAGTAATGCACTAGCAAAGCCAGCACTTCTATTCAATCCAATACAGGGTTATACACTATATAGAATACTAACACCAAGGTAGGGTTAGAAATTAAAGCGAAATATTAGGCAGCAACAAATCTGAAAATACCAAACAAACAAAATACACGAGGGTAGATCCACCTGAATGCTGCAATTGAATGCTATTGTCTTTGTTTAATGCTAAGACGGGCAAAGCCTTTAAACTCTAAAAAAAAATACATGAGGGTAACATTAGTTGTAAATTGTAATATACATGCACAATACAGTTACATACTTCTAGGAAAAAATGATTTAAAATGAATGTCATTTTTATTCATAATGGTACAGTACAATCAGGCAGTAACACCGATGATGCCATTGGTGTTTAGTAGGTACAAAGTTACATATTTCACATAGATCCAACATAAATTTATCGTTACTAAAATTTCGCAAATTAAATGTGATTTTTGATGTCACACTTTCATATTTGAATGCAAGCAACTCCCTAGGAACTCAAGCAAACTGTTGAGGAAGTGTCATGTGCTGGCTTCTGCATCAAGTGTACTTCTGACTCCATCTTGAAATGAGATTGGCTTGATACCAAGAATCTGGGTTAGCTTGGTGATGTCCATGGATATGTCTGGTGGAGAAGCTACCCCTCGATTAACCTGGGCAACAGGTAGATGCGGGCATTACAAGATATTATGATGGAAAAATAAGCATATGGAACCAAAATGTTTAAAGGGACCTCAATGCTCAATGTTGGATACTATTTCTGTTGTAAAGTTAAGACCAACTTGTACCTAAAACATCATGCTTGTTGAATAAATGTGTTCTAATAGTACTCATGTTAACACTAAATAGGCAGATATCATATGGATGCTTCAATGCTACATTCCAGAGGAAAGATAATGCCGATGATGCAGACACAGATTTGATTATATTGGGGTTATATCCACGAACAACAGCAACAGACTCAGCCATCTGCAGTCTTGATACCCTATATGGACCGCCAACATTCAGGAGGACCTGGACTTTTTTGCCATCTGCAGCATGCACTTTGATGTCAGTCACCATGGCACAATGGAAAACAATTGCTAATAGGAAAACACTAATATTGAAGCGTTGTAATATATGAACTGGAACATGTTAAAATTGTTTATAGATTGAACACAAGAAAAATTATTGCTACTGATTGAGTTCCACAAATGCACAAGTCAAACTCATACCTGATAACCAAGTTTTTGTCAATGACAAAATTACGTCCACCGTATCTTTGACATAGATAGGGCACAGGAATTCATCATTGAAGAACTCAACCTGCTGACCTTGTGAAAGAACACCATCCATCCACTGCATCCAAATGGCAAGTACTTTTCTTAGTTAGACACTTCTCTGGTCCTGTAGAATCAGTTTCAATTCTGAAACATTAGCAACATGACTCTACTTACTTATAGTTGGGGAGAAGAACATAACACTATTTATGAGTGCTGAGCAGTGCATTTTACCTGAACGGGAAGGGATTTTGCCACAGGAGAGATTGTTTGTGGCCCATAGATAATGTTGCTTCTCAAGATCGCATAGTTTGAGCATTTCTCAACAATGAGTTTCTCTGCAGCAACTTTAGATTTTCCATACATGTTCACCGGCACTGTCTCGTCCTCTTCTTTGTAGAAGGATTTTACCCCCTCATAAACTGTCAGTACAAGAGAGGCATATTTTATTGTACACTTGAGTCTAGGATGAACATACATGCAGTATGCACCACAGATAAAAATGTCTGAGTAGCAGAGTATGGCACCAAGGATTGTGAGTGCTGTACCTTGATCAGTTGACAGATGAATCAAAAGTGAGTCGTCATTCCCAAAACTCAGCAACCAATTCACAAGTGAAGAAGGCACATTGGTAGCCATAGCAGCAGGTGGATCCATTTCACATGCCCGAGGAACTGACATCGCAGCACAGTTGACAACTACGTGTGGCTGAACATAATAGGTACAGGTTACAATGCTATGTTATCGGAGAAATGTAGTAGTGATCTCGTGATTCATGTAATGTCCAGCCAAGCAATCGCCAATCAGTTAATCACTAAATCAGTGAGAGCAGAAGTTCGTATGAAGCAGAGAGTTGCGCGCGGTGGGAAATGCGGACGCGTATTGTACCTGGCCAAAGGACGCGGAGATCGCCTCGAGTCCGTCTCCGGAACGGAGGTCGGCGCGGACGAAGGGGAGCGCGTCGAGGAGCGGCTACGGCGGGGCGGGGCTGTGGTGGGTGAAAGCGACGTCGAGGCGGTCGGCGGCGGAGGACGCCACGAGGAGGTGCTGGCCCAGGTAGCCGCTGCCACCCACCACCAGCACCCGCTTCCTCTCCTCCTCCCCCGCCATCTCGAGAGATCTGCTGTGAACTCGCTCCTCCGTGAGATTGCGAGGGAGGGAAGCAAGAGGAAGGGGCTCGGGATTGAAGCGGAGCCATGGGTCCCACACTTCAGTTGATAAAGGGATACGTATCCTGGTGGCGGAGGCGGAAACCTCGACTCCCCAAAGCGGAAACTTAACTGCTCTTCTCTTCACTTCACAGTTTGTTGCATTGCGCTGCCTTGTCCGCCGCCGCCAAAACCTAGCAGCGAGCGATAAACCCTACAGCGCCGCAGTCGCTGTTGCCGGCGGCGATGGGGGGGTGGGCCACGCACGTTCCCGGGAGGGCTGTCTAAGTGGCAGTACAAGCGGAAGCACGAGAAGCTGGCGCGACAGAAGCAGCGGGGGCTCCTCCGCCACGAGAAGCAGCTCTACCTCGCCCGCCTCCGCTCCAAAATCCGCGCCTCCCGCCTCCCGGGCGCCGCCGCCGCGGAGGCTCCGCCGTGCGAGGGGCCCACCTCGTCGCGCGCCCACATCTGCGCCCTCGCCGACCGCTTCCGCAGGCCCGGCGCCGAGGACCTCTGGAACGAGGACGACGGACCCCTCCGCCACGCGAAGCGGCCGCCGACTGGGATCGCGTCGGGTGTCCAGCATCGGCAGCAGCAGTTGGACTCTGGGAAGCCCCGCGGAGGACCGATTTGGGAGGACCTGGCCGCTCTGGAGCAACCGAGGCCTCGGAGGAGCCTTTAGACAGGGGAAAGGGGCCAACCTTGGCCGCGTTCAATCCGAGAAGAGAGTACCGAACGGTGGCGCTCTGGTGCCCGCGTTGGAATCTGGCGCCACTCGGTTTCGTTGATCCCAGGAGGTTTTACTCGGTGATGACTCCTTGCTCCGTGAGTTGGCAACCGTGTGTCGACCTGAGGCCATTGGTTGCTAGAGGCCTTACTGAGGTTGGGAATGGAAGGAGGGAGACACCATTCGCGCTGTTTAATCAGGAGAGCCTGTACTCTGTGGCTGCGAGGCGATTTGGCAGGAAATGGAGACCAGATTTGTCAGATGAGGATGACGAGGGTGCATCTGCGCGCAAGAGGAATCTGAGGTTTGGAAAGTTTGGGGCTTCGAGCGAAGAGGATTCAGAAATTGATGAGTCTGAGGACACAGTGCCATCAGGAGGAGATGGAGCAGTGCTGCTTTCAGGAACTGTGATATGAAGGAAGGGCGGGTCTCAATGTATCTAAAAAACAACATATTTGGATGTGGACGGGTTACCACCGAGCATCTTAACCATGCCAACCCCAACCACCGACCGCCTCGGGAGCGGTGTACACGCAACACAAACCGTCTCTTAAATTCATAGATACTCCCTCCGTACTCAAAAAAGTCGACGTTCTGGGCCTTTGGCCCGTTTTTACAAAGCTTGACGTTGTGCCATGGCAGGGTGAACTTTGGACTGGATTGCCCCTAGCCGACGCCGCTCGTTCGCTTCGATTGCCCGTCCGGCCGTCCGCCCGTCTTCACTCCCCATTAATTGTTGTTCCTTCATCTTCCTCTCCACGCTCAACTCGCTATTAGAGTTCGTTGCTGTTCCTTGCCGTCACGAATGGATCACTCGTGCCGCACGCTCGCCATGACGCTCGCCACACGCTCGCCGGAAGCGCCATCGCCGCTCACTTACGCTTTGACGCTTTCGTCGCAGGCGCTTCGCCGCCGCCGCCGCCGCCGCCGCCGCGCTCGCCGCTTCGCCGCTTCGCCGTCGCGTCCTCGTCGGAGTCCGTTGCGGAGGAGGTGCTCGCCGTCGCGGCCTCGTCGGTGTTCGCGGACTCGGATGAGACGTTCGCGGACGTCGAAGAGGTGCCGGACTCCGTCGAGCAGGTCGCGGCCTCGTCGGTGTTCGCGGACTCGGATGAGACGTTCGCGGACGTCGAAGAGGTGCCGGACTCCGTCGAGCAGGTCGCGGCCTCCGTCGACATGGTTGCAGACTCAGTCGACATGGTGCCCGACTCCGTCGAGTCTCTATGCCCTCGCTGTGGCACGTTCCACGCTGGCGGTGTCTTCGGAGAAGCTTGCTACCAAGCTCGCCGGAACGCACGCAGGTGTGGCCGTTGTGGACTTCTACACGAAGATTACGATATGCCAGTAAAGTGGTTCCATCTAATGGACAAATTCGATTGCGAGTTCTATATTCCTGATGTGGCCAAACTTGAAATGGATGGTACTAGAATCAAGTTGACTGATGACGTTTTGAAGAAGGTGGAAGAGCATATTAAGAAGCAGCAAACAAAGAGCACTAAGGTACAGTACATCATCTCTCAATTTGGCCATTGCAAACCTAAGATACACTCATCTAATAATTTGCATAAACTTGCATCTTCTAATTTGTTACAGGAAGACTAGCAAGTGATTCGGCTAGCAATGAAGCTTCACAAGGGATTTGCAATGGCAGCCTCTTTTCCCTCTCTAGTGCTTGTTTGTTCATGTGAGGAATCTTGATTTTGTTGCAACCTTTTACCTTCATTGCTTCCTTCAAAACAGTTTGTAGTGTGACAAAGATCCTATTTGCTTTCTTTTGGACAAGACTCCAAAAATGCCTAAAAAAAACAGATTGTAGTGAGTAGAGTACTTTAGTTGTTCAAGATCAATTTAATCAATCGAATGGATGATCATTTACCTCTTGCACTGCTGGAATTAGATCTTTAATTGTCTTAGCATCTTTCTTGTATTGAATGGCTTGAATAGCTCAAAAAAACCCCAAATCTAGAATGTTAAAATCTGGAGAATTGGGTGGTTGACATATAAGCCTAATGTCAAACCCATCTTGCTTTGCAACCGCACAAAAATGAGGATCATCAACTTTTAAATGAGATGGAGCATTATCCTGTTGAATGAATATTGGCTTGTTGACATCTTCTCTTGGCCACTTTGCTCTAATTGCGGGCAACACTCTATTTATCATGAAATCTCTTATCACATCCCTTGTGATTGATTGAATTGGTTTGATTACTTCCTCTCCACGAAGACGGTTGTGGCTTCCTCTAATAGCTTGTTCAAAATTGACTAGTGGAAAGCAACCTATTTTGCCATCAAACACACATACTCCATTTCTAAATCGTGGCCGAGCACATACACATAAGAACATGATCCTAGGGATGTAGTTCTTGTTCTTGCAAAAGCGGTGTGGTTCATCTTCCTCGGGTAGCAAGTAGTACCTCTCTGATTTTTGAGTGAGGTAGAACCACTTCTCATCAATAAACACAAAGTCAAACAAATCCTTGAACTTTGGATCATCAAGCAAACCTTGATCAATCATGTCAATGCACCACTTCAACCTAGTCTTCTTGTTATCATCAGTGAGGTAAGGTTTGATGCTACTAGAGTGGCGCCTAATGAAACCCCTTTTCAAATACCTTTGTATCCTAGATTTGCTAAATACCAAGTTTACTAGACACATCTTCTATGGTCATCCTTTGCTTGAGAGGAATATCCCATAACTTTTCCAAATCTAGAGGGATTGCTTTGCGGCCACTTCTACCTTTCTTTAGATTAGGAACCACTTAACCGAATGTTTTAAGAAAGTTGGTTTTACCTTGCCTCCATATGCGCTTGAACTGATCTAATTTTTACTCCAAATTGGTTAGATACAATTGTTGTATCATGCTTGCCTAGTTTCCCATTTTGCTTCTCATCAACAATGCTTGATACACTTGTTGTCTAACACGATCGAATAGTCATTCTTGGTTGGTGTAGTGGAGCAGGAGCATCACCATCTTGTTCTAGCAAAACGAAAAAACAAGCTTTTTAATAGTACAAAGTAGTCACGGCATGATGTAGTTAAAGGAAAAAACCAATCATTTTAATAATGATAACAGCAAGCTTATTTACAGTCCAAATTAGTGACGACATGATGTAATTATAGGAAAAAACAATCATTTGCATGGGGTGCTGTTCATATAAATGAGAGGACTGTAAATTAGGCATGGCATGACTAGTAAAAAAACAGCTCCAAATTAGGCACGGCATGACTAGTAAAAAACAGCTCCAAATTAGGGCGCGGCATGACTAGTAAAACAAAAAAAACAAAGTGAGAGGACTGTACCAAAGTGAGGTTTTATGCGTAATCAAAGTCAACAGCTCCAAATTCATCTAATGGTAAGTTCAAATCTATTCCTGTTGAAAAGGAAAGACCACACTTAGAAAGGAAAATAATTTGCATGGGGTGCTGTTCATATAAATGAGAAAGAACAAACTGAGAAAGACACATTACCGTGGTTCTCATCTTCCAAAAGCGGCTTGTTGAGATCGATGGGAAGGTTGCCGTCGTCATCCTCTTCCAAACGAACGTTTAGATCAAAGGCAGGGAAAAAAGCACTCATTGCTCGGTTAAGTGGACAGAGAAGATGGCAAGAATAGATGGTTGAGAAAGAAGGAAGAGAGGCGTTTAAGCAAGCAAGCAAATGGCGTGGAGAAGAGAGAAAGCAAGTTGCCGCATAAATAAGCCCGGTGGCGTGGAGTACTGAGCAGCTCAAGCGTCGGTGCTATCCGGCGCCACGAGCAACAAACGAAAATGAAACAAGTGCCAAACGAAAATGAAACAATTGCCCAGTGGCGCATGCAAGATCGCTGTCGCGCCAGCTTAAAAAATGCAAAAGCGCCGAAAGCCTTCTGCTGTCCATGCAGCATACGCTAGCGAGCGTAACAATGTCATGCAACGGACCATCGCCATGCAAAATGAAATGGGCAACAAAAAAGGTGGGGCAGCCGGGATTCGAACCTAGGGCGCAGCAATGCAGGCTCTACGCACTAGCCAGTTGAGCTGGTTAACTTTCTCGTACAGAGAGCAAGCGCAACCATATTTATTAGGGACAAAGAAGGAAAACTAACCCCTAATTAATCACTCCTTGGTTACCACAATCCTGTCCTAAACGTCAGGTTTTTTGGGTATGGAGGGAGTACATGTTTAAGTACAAATATTCATAGTTGGTGAATTGTTTTTATCTGATGGTTAGGAGGAGAGACATTAAATGTGTCCACCTGTCCGACTTGTTTTTATCTGATGGTAGCATGGAGGGAAGGTATTAAATGTGTCCAACTGCTTTCGACTCACCCTGCATAGGTGAAGATGTCAAGTGCTTTCAAATTTACTGAGTAAATTTCTGGATAGCTTAGGAAGGCACTCGTGCATGCATGAAAATTTACTGCCTAGTATCTATTGATAGTAAATTCATTAATATAAAAGGAGAATGCACATGTGATGTAAATTCCTTATGTCATAGTTACTTTTTTTATATAAAGGACACGTGAAAGCACAGTGATGTAAATCCCTCTACCGTAGTAACTTTTTGTATACAAAGTACACCTACAGTTTATATTGTCCTTGCATGCATGGTCATTCAATTTTTCATCTACTTCATTGAATGCGTCCACTTGCTTTATCTATCTATTGCCGAATGCATGGAGGAAGGCTGGTTGTGACGCGCTTCATTTGAGTCGTAGAATTTCTATCTAACGCACCAACTATATAGAACATACGTAGACACCCTGAGAGACCGCCTAGACGACGTGCCTTCATATCTCTAATATTGTGAAGCACTCATGTAGCTACAGGAAACATCCTTTTTATTTTCTATAAGTGAGCTAAATAGAGCACGTGAATAGGCATAGAGTTAAAATGTTACACTATTGATTATAGTAATAAAAAAAAATAGCAGTTTATAATTTTGGCTACACCAATGATGAAGAACCAAAAGTTGTACTCTTAGCTAATCTACAAATTGCAAGTTACAGAACAAATAGCCTGCGCAAATTGCTTGAAGCTTGAGAGTACATATATTAGTCCCTCTCTTCTTATGTTTAGGACAAACTAATAATTAGTTCAAAAGCTATTTAGTTCATTTTTGAACTAATTATAGCTTGTCCTAAATGTCATATATTTAACAACAGAGGTAGGGCTTTTCTATAATAATGAGACTCGCTTTCAGAATCAGTTCCAACTGGTGCAGATCATTTGCATATAATAATAATGGATTTCCAGAACACAGGCAAAACCAAGCAGTTGAATGACATTCAAGAGCAACTCCAGCTACAAATACAAAAAGGCAAAGCTCAGAACTACTTTACTCACCTCCCATATTTGCTGAAAAGGTCCTCAAGATCCTGTGTCCGGGTATGTGGAGAAATTTGGCCCACGTACAACTTGGTGTTACTTCCATGTCGACCATGGCGATCATATCGATCGTTGAAATCATATTGATCATCGTATCGAGGCATTTTGCACTGCAAGACAATAAAATGTCAGGTTGCAATACCTGCACAGATATCATCTTTTGTCACAGAAACATGCAAATAAACCTGCATGGACCTGATTGATACAATAGACCTCAATATTGGACTAGTTTTCCCTAATCATGCTCCTACTGTTGAAGATCCATACATAACACACATGAATATACTTCTATAAATTTGAAAGGCCCCCGTTTCACAATTAGTCTCCCTGCTAGGAACAAAATTTGCGTTAATCCTAGAATGCTCTTGGCAAAGGAAAAAAGGAAAAGAGAAAGCAGCATAAAGACCACAACAAATCAATCCAAAAGACGAATTTTAATGATCAGACACAAATAAAAATCTCGGAGAGCACAGAAACTAATCAACTCTCATTTCAGATGATTCCAGAAACAGCAGAGACTACACGTGCCGCAAGCCCGTGACTAAACTAGTGGCATGGAACAATGATCATACATTCATACATCCACAAAATTCACGTACAAGACCCGAAGACAAACGGCAAACAAACAAATGATGTAATCAAAACCCTAATTTTGCATGATCCCCTGTCACAGTCACACAGTTAGGCCCCTTACTAGGGACAAATTTCCCTCCATCCTGACATGGACTCGAAGGTACGCCCCAAAAAAGCAGCATTTTGCAAACAAAAATCAAGCCAAAAAAGGCCGCGAGCTCCAACTTCCAACGCGTTCGCGCGCTACGAACGCAGGGATCAGACAAACAAACCTAGCAACCAACGACGAATCCTGAACTTTGTACTTGACTCTTTCTCCCTCTTTTTTTTTAATAAAAAATCAGTATGGATTTTACACCCCTCCTGTTTGTCTAAAAAAAAGGTTAATTGGATTGGTGGTATTACAATTCTCGCGTTTCTGATAAATACCATTACTATTAGTCTTATTGTAAGCGTGCCATTACAATTAGACTCGAGTCTGAAAAATGCCATTATGTACACTTGCCGCGACCTGTGACCCACATGCAGGTGTATACAGCTAGTAGTACATTCGTATGTACCCTTTTGCCCTAGCTTCTCCATACATGCGCCCGTTTGACTGGATCGAGTCAATCCATCCATTCCACACCGCCTCCTCTCTTTCTCGCTCGAACCCTAGCTCGTCGGCTGCGGAGGCGACTGCGACCGGCGGCGACTACTACTCGCGGCGGTGGCGACCGCGACTACCACAGGCGCCGGCGTCGACCACGACTACTGCTGCTCCTTCCCCGCCCCATCTGCTGAGCGGAGATGGCATCCACAGCTGCCAGTTCAAGTGCTAGCCAGGTTGGTGGTCTCCCATGGATCGATTGCCCCAAATACAAGATCCAGGTCATTAGGCGCAAGAGCAAGGCTGGCAATATGTATTACACTTGCCCCAACAATTTCTCGGTAATTTATCTTGCTTTTCCTTTGATGTTGGGTTCCATGTTCGTCCAGCTGCAAATAGTGTTAAGTGGGTTGAGGTTTTGATTGTCAATTGCAGAACGATGACACTTGTGCGAACTATTGGTTTGAGGATCAATACCTGGCCTATCTGTGTGCCAATCATCCAGACAAGCTGATGTCGAAGTGGAAGGTGTACAGGGCCCTTTTGTTGCTCCTGCGGTTCAAGGCATAGAACAGAAGAGTGACACAAAGATTGGGATGATGGACTTGAAGGTTTAGATCATTGACTTGAAGGTTGACATTTTAAAGTTGAAGCAGGAGATGAAAGAATTGAAGAATGGAGGATTGAACAAGGCTTTTAGCTTAGGCAATGCATTAGTTGTTGTGGTGATGCTAAATCTGTTTATAAGCCTCTTAGTTGCAGCAGTTTGAAAATGAAGTAGTATGCACCTTGGTTCTAGTAGTTTGGAGTTCAGTGATCTTAGCCTGTAGGTTGTCAAGTGCTACTACTAATTTATGTTTATTTATGTCTGTGCAACTGTGTATCTGTGATCAAGGAATGCATGTTTATGTAGGTTTTGTAAATATGTGAATTTGTGATGAATCTATCAATGTGTGCAACATAGCTTCTTTTTCTTATAATTGTGATCAATCTGTGAATTTGTGATGAATAAATAGATGTTTCTGTTTGGAGCAGCAACTGTCCATGCACGTCATGGATAAATAAGGCCATAATTTACATGCTTATATCACACAAGGTGGTTCAGATTCATTATAAAACATCCACTCATAACCAGAACACACAAATAGGTTCAGATCCTAGCATTCATCAAGTTTAGGCCATTACTAAACAGAAATAGGGGGTGGCCATAACAAACATTCAGTGCCGACCATAACAGATATCGAGTTCAGGCCCTAGCATACATCAAGTTCAGGCCGTACCATACATCAAGTTCAAGGCCTACAATACATAACGTTCAGGCCACAAAAGAAACTAATTTTATGCTTGTGATCACAACATATCACATGGTGTTTAAGAAGTCCTTCAAAGCTTCTCACAACACTAGTCACTTTGGAGCAATGACTTTCTTTTTCTTGCTTTTTTCTTAGGTGTCTTCTTCTTCTTAGGTGTTTTCTTTTTCTTGGGTGCACCCTTCTTCTTAGGTGTTGTCTTCTTCTTCTTCATCAGCACTGTCATCATCTTCCAGCTGTTGCCTTTTCCTACAGATGCACATTATGATTAGCAAAAACTAGGGAATGTCACAAGAATTAGAAAAAGACATACCAATCATTTTATTTTTTTTCCTTTGAATTCAGTCCAACTTCACAATCTTCTCCTAACTCTTGTTATTTGCAAGTCTTAGAGAAGTGCCCAAAATCTCCACACCTTTTACACCTTACCTTCTTCTTGGTAGCATTTTTCTCAAGGCAACCTCTAATTCTCACCACTCTCGGCCTACCTGCAGCTCTACCTAGCAGAGGAGGGAAAACTTTGAAGCCTAGGTCAACCTGTGGGCACTGTGATCTGTCTAGCAATGGCTCAACTCTAGAAGCATATGCAGCCCTAAATCTCTAAACAGAGTAGTACTCATGCACAAAATCTTCTATTTTAATTCCTCTGTTGGAAAGAATCCATGCCAGGGCATGTTTGCATGGTTTTCCTGTGATTTGCCACTCCCTACATGAACAGGAGTGACCTTGCAGGTCAACCATGTGCCTCTTGTGGTTGTTCCAGTCATCTATAAGTGCTACTTCAGCTATGCCTTCATCACTTCTTACAACCTTCACAACTTTGAGGTTTTTGCTTATAGTGTTCAGGTCTTTGATGACATTGGGCACTATACCATCCTGCATATCCTTACCAATCTATCTTCTTAAGTACCTCTTTTCCATTATGAGTTCCCTAATCCCATCTACCAGTTTATGCAAAGAAAAGTCCTTTCAACTTCTTTATCCGAGCATTGAAAACTCTCAGAAATATTATTGGTTAAATAGTCACATTTACTTAGCTCGAAAATCCACACTGTATAATATCAACTTGTGATGTTGTTGAAGGAAGTCAATGGCATCTCGGGGCAAAATCTACTATCTTCTACATGTGCCACTGAAAACCCTTTCGTGTAACTCCTTGCGGAGGTATGGTGGTCGATAAACACATCTCCTTGATAATGCTTCATAAAGTTGTTGTACATATGCCTCATACACTCTCTGTACTCCACTTTAGGGAACACTACACCCTGACCTTCTCAAGTCCTTTACAAGCATCAGTACATATGACTAAACTATAGGTGAACCCTTTGCTCTATGCAAATCGCTTCATGAACCACTTCCAATTGTCTTACATTTGAATAAAAACACCATATGCCACATGGTATAACTAGTTGTGCCCATCCACAACAGATTCTTGATGCCAACTCATCTGTATATATCTGCCACATAATATATAGACGCATCTACACCTATAAATGCCCTACAACCAGCTAAGAAGCCATCAATACATGGCTTCAGTGGCTACAAAAAATCCTCTTGAAGCGCTTCTTCTTCCCTTCTAACTCTATCTCTACAATGCTTTCAAGAGAACTTATTTCTATCTGTGCTTTCCAATCGAACAATAGTTGAAAACTTTCTGAATACTTTCCATGAACCTATTGTAGGGCAACCATCAAACCTAACCATGGCTTGGAGTATTTCAGTTTAATGCCATAGTCTCCTTCTAGCTTTTCCTTTGCCTCCTTGGCTCCTTTATTTGGGTTCTTCTTGACCCAAATTCGCCAACCTATCTACACACACCAACCTTGACTAGCCATCTTTCCCTCCCTCAGCTTTGTAGTGGGACAATTATGTTCAGTAGGCAATGTTTTAATCTACATAAGAAATTAAGATGAATATCATATGTATAACTGAATAAGTTACAAATAGTAAGAAAAGGACAACACCAACCTGTATTGTTTTCTTATCAAAAATCCTAGATGCATGAATTCTCCATGGGCACCCTTCAACATCACAATGTGTAATAAATCTTGTCTTGTTAGTTTCAACTTAGCTAACTCGAAACCTTTCTTGACAGCGTAATGTCTAATAGCTTTCCTGAATGTTACTATGTTAGAAAACAATTGTCCCTTGACAATCTTTGGATTTTTAGGATCGTGGAGGACAGTTATTTTCTGGGGATCTGCATCATCAATTTTTGCCTCAAGAGGAGCACCTCCATTAGCAACAACAGGACCAGCATTATCAACAGATGTTTGGGCACTATCAGTGTTGGCTGGGTGTGTAGGTGGTACTAAAATGTAGATGTGCTCATCATCAACCCCAACATACTCCTCTTCATTGTCAAAGATGTCTGGCTCCCTATTAGGCTCTACGTTCGACTGATCAGCAGTACAAGGATTGGCATCAGTAGAAGCTTGGGCATTTGGAATTGCAGCAGAAGAAGCATTTGCATCTAGACTGGCAATAGTTAAAGCATTTGCATTTGGAATGGCAGCAGTTAAAGCATTTGCATTTGGAATGACAATAGTAGAAGCATTTGCATTTGGAATGGCAACAGTAGAAGCACTTGCATTTGGAATGGCAGCAGCACAAGCATTTGCATCAGGATTGAAATCAGTAGGGTTGACTGATCCATCATCAGGTGGAATAACACATATAGGCTCTAACAACTCATAATCAAGTGCATCAGAAACAACATTATCAAAGACTCCTACCAACACACGGCAACACATTTCAGACTTATACATGTCAAACAAATCCATCATCTGAATGTCACTGTCTAATCTGACATCTTCTTGCACATTTTTGTCAAAGAACCACAGAGATGCAGACTGGTTAGAGGCCCATTTAACTTCATTCCGCAAGCTTTCCCTCAACAAGTCTAAAGAAAATGACCCTATCTCGACATCCCACTTAATCACAGAACCTTTGGTGTAAACTTTCCTACCCAACGCATCTTTTGTATTGAAACCTTCAACTTTAATCTCTAGCGAGAAGAGGTCGGTCCTAGCAGGAAGTAAGCAGATCAAGTCAATGAGTTCTACAACAAATTGCAGTAACAACTAGCCTATTCATCGATGGAAAGTCATGTCAGATTGAAATGATTTTAGATGCATACATCGGTATGCTGTCGTCCATTGCCGTAGCACGGTTACCATGCGCCTCGTCCTCCATGGAGGACATGACCGCCATAGTACTCAAGCTTGCATCATGATCTTCAATCAACTACCATCGGTCTCGGGCGCCGCCGTCGCAAGCAGTAGTCGCCGCCATCGCCGGTCGTAGTCGCCTTTGCGGCCAATGAGCTAGGGTTCGAGCGAGAGAGAGGAGGCGGTGGGGAATGGATGGATTGACTCGATCCAGTCAAACGGGCGCATGTATGGAGAAGTTAGGGGCAAAAGGGTCCATATGAATGTACGTACTAGCTGTATACACCTGCATATGGGCCACAGTGTGCATGCAAGTGTACATAATGGCATTTTTAGACTCAATGTAATTGTAATGGCACGCTTACAATAAGACTAATAGTAATGGTATTTCTTAGAAACGCGAGAATTGTAATGGCACCAATCCAATTAACCAAAAAAACCCCGACAAATCCACGAAAAATTAAGCCATGGAGAACAAGCGCCAACTGGAAAAGCGAGACAAGCCCACTCGGCAACTCCCCATGAATGCTAGGCGGTGTACACGAATGAGAGGAATCGAGAGGTCCGAGGCGGTGAAGAGCACGCACCTCCCGAGGATGCGAGGGGCGGTGTCGCGGGAACCCTAGTCGGCGATGAGGAGGCGGCCGCAGCGATGGCGAGGCAAAGAGAGGAGAGTGAGACGGAGCTGACCACATCCCGGTGATTTATGGCTTCAACTTTGAAGGGCCCGTGAGCCATGATTGACATGGATAGATAGTCATTTCTTTCATCCAATTTTTTATTATATTTTATTTTCTTGGGAAGTTCGTTTCTTATTACTCCTAGAATATTTTTGTGATCCTAGACAACATATTTTTGTTTTCAAAAATACTTAACACTAGTACATATTGCGATTATTGGGTGGCTTGCCCGCGCCTCACTTACAGGACTCGAACAGCGTTGACCTCGCCCTCACCGCTGCCAGAGGTGTTGGTCGGCTGCTCAATGAGCAGTAAGGAGGATGGCGACGGGGCCATCCCACCACTCTCAACCCCCACAGCGTGCCATGGATGCCGGTGGTGGCATGGACACCGGGCTCAAGTTCGCAGCT